ATGCAGCCGGTGCCCCCCCTCCCACACCCTCCCCATGCAGAGACACCAGCGCATGGGACCGCGGGACACAGGGGGACCCTGCCAGGCTTAATGCCCCCTCCATCCCCCGGGATCACCCCACTGTACTGGGGACCTGCACCCCCGCGCCTGGCTGGGTCCCCCGCGCCAGGCAGCAGGAAAGCAACAGAATGTGGGTGCCCACGAAGCCGCGGAGAGTCAAGGAAAGGTGCCCAGCAGGGCACAGAGCGGGACGGGGATGGGACAGGGGTCTGTAGGACTGGGGACACAGGAGTACGTGTGACAAGGTCGGGGGTGTGCATTGCCATCCGTGTGCAAGCTTGCACTCATGGGGGTGTGCAAGGGGCTGCACACGTGTGCAGGAGGAGGTGTGTGCACATGCATGTGTGTGTGCAAGGAGAGGTATGAAGCTGCGTGTGCAAGCATGTGCACCCGTGTGGGTGCATTCATGTGCGTGTGCATGCACACGCGTGCACGGGCATGTGCTGCATGCCATGCCCATGCGTGTGCACACGTGTGCTGGCGTGCGCTTGCAGCTTTACTTTCCTCTCATCTCCGCAGACATGGGGAGAGCGACAAGGACACACAGGGCGCCAGTGGCGGGTGGGGGGGTCCGCGAGGGGCCCCCCCGCCACGGTTACCAACCTAAGTAACTATTGGGGGCCACGTCGCCGGCCGCGCTGGGCACCTTCTCGCTGGGGTCGGGGCTTTTGTACACGAGCTGGTCGGGGTCTGAGCTATCAATGTTTGTCACAAACAAAATACCTGGGCCCGGGTGGGCCGGGCGGAAAGAGAGAGAGAAGCGAGTGAGGGCAGGAGCGGGCGCCCGGCCTGCCGCCTGTACCCAAGTAGCTGTTGGCCGGCACGGGGATGAGCGAAGGGTCCTGGTCCTTCTCGCCCCCGGCTTCATAGGGGCCATCGTCGTAATGGACCAGGTCCAGGGAGCTGTGGTTGAACAGCTCCACGCGCACGTTCCCTGCCAAGGCAAAGGGGTCAGTGCCGCCCACACGGCCACGGGAGCAGGGACACGGATACAGGGACAGGGACGGGGACAGTCCAGCTGCCTGCAGAGAGAAAGGAGCACTGGGGCCTCTGGCAGCCTCAGTGAAGCCATGCATGGGTCCATGGCACCCTGCAGCCTGTGTGTGCAACAGCGCATGTTTGCATGCTTGGCCATGCATGTGCAGCCTGTCCATGGGACAAAACTGCATTCACGTTCATGTGCAGGCACATACAAATGCACATACATTGCACATGTGCAGTGCACACATGCATACATGCCCACAATGTACAGGAAGATCCGTGCACCCACACGTATGCACCTAAGCATGCACATGCGAGTGCAAATCCTTGCAGATCCAGGTGTATGCAGCTAGACCCCACACGCACACAGCTAGACCGTTCCTGTGCACACAACGGGGTGCACACTCACCCACCCGAATCCTTGCGCACCCACGTGTGGGTGCTGGCACAGGCAGCCAGAGCCACATGCACATCCATGCGAAGCCTCTGTGCCCACCCAGGTACACCTGCAAGTAGGCTCATGCACCCACTCCCACCGCGCCTGAGCCCCCCCACTCCCTGCACCCTGCGCTCACCTTTCCAGTTGTAGGTGCCGGGAGCCCCAAAGAGGATGTAGTGGCTGTCGGCGGTGAAACCGGCTGCCAGGCCCTGCTGGCAGAAGCCGAAGCGGTCGTGGCCCTGCGGCCGCCCCTCGCAGAACTTCCACTCGCCGCCGTCGAGCTCGTCGCGCACATGCAGGTCCTGGCTCAGCACGTAGCAGCGCCCGATGACGTCGCGCGTCTCCAGCGGCTGCCGCACGCGGTTCCGCGTCTCGTAGAGGTGGGCGCAGGTCTGTGGGCACGGTGGAGGGGGATGGGTCAGGTGGGGACGGGGGTCTGCCCCTCTCGCAGCCCCCTGCCCGGTGCTGGTGCTCACCACGATCTTACCGCCGGGGCCCTGGCTCTTCACGCTCACCCCCAGCCACTGGTTCTCCTTGCTCTCCCGCTGCAGATCCACTGCGGGCACAGGCAGCATCAGCTCCGCCGCCCCCAGAACCACTCGTGCCACCCGCCCTACCTCGAGCCCTGGCACCTCCGTCATCGATGGGCACTCGCCAGCAGTCGGAGACCTCGTGGCTCAGCGGGCAGGCGTAGAGGCCGCCCGTGCGGTTGGCGCCTTGGCTGGGCAGAGCAGGCGCCTGCGGGGCTCCAACCAGCAACCTGCAGTGACAGGGATGGGGGGGGATGAGCGTCAGCGTCACACGCGGGGTCTGACACACTCGGACCTCCCCCCTGTCATTGTGGAGCCAGCGCCGGCCCTGCTGCCCCCATGCAGCTGTCCCGGCCGCCTGGCGCTGGCGCCGCCGACGCACCCATTTCACGCGTCTGCAGCCTGGGGCTGGGCAGCTGCCCACGCCGTGCAGGGCTGGGGGCACCCCAGGGTGCATGTGCACCCACTCTGCACCATCCCACCCACTCCCGGCCTCAGCAGAGCTCAGTACACCTGGGACCAGCGGAAGGGCACCCCATGGCAAAGTGCCCTCGTGATGCGCTGGACCTCTGGCCTCTCCCAGGGGACAGGGCCAGTGGCCCCGGGGGCATGAAGGAGTCCCGGGAGGCAGCCGAAGGCTGGTAAAAATAAACTGGAATTCACTCAAAATAACTGCACTGCCGCATGCCCTAAAAAGGAGGAGGCGGCCGGGCCGGGCCGTGCGGTGCCCGAGCAACGGGCAGCGCCGGGACCCGCTGCCGCCGCAGACACCGGCCGAGAGCGGCGGCTCTGGCGCCGAGAGCGGCGGGAGAAGCGGCCCCGGCGGCTCCGGGACCGAGGGGGCTCGGCGGGCACGGGGCCAGCGGAGGCACCGCGGGAAGGTGGTGGCACCGGCGGCTTCCCGGGAATGCGGGTGGGCGGCCCCGCTCCAGGCTCCGCTCAATGACTTAGCGGCGGCGGCGGCTCCGGACCGAGCGCGGTGGAGGCGACGTCGGCTCCTGCCCGGCCCCTCGCCCGCCGCGGCCGGCCGGGGCTGCACCAAGGGGTCCTGGCACCCCGGGGTGGGGGCTGGAGCGGCCCTGGCACCCTGGGGCGGGGGTCCTGGCACCCCGCGGGGAGCTGCGGCCGTGCTGGGTCACACGAAGCACTCGCAGCGGGCGCGCACGGGCGGGCACGGGGCCATCCCGGGGACCTTGTTCCCGACCGGCAGCAGAGACTCCGCTGCTCTCAAGTCTCGCAAGAAGCCAGGGCAGAACCAGGACTCCCGTCCCCAACTCCTGGCAAGGAGCCGGGTGGGATCCGCACCGGGACATCGTGGAGGGGTGAATTGGATGCCCAGTGCAGCCAGTCCCGCCCGCGGCTTCGGACCCACCGGGTGACTCCGCGTTTGCGCCGGGAACCAAGGGCGAGAGCTGCCAGCTCCCCCCGCAGCCCCCAGCCCCGCCGAAGCCCCGCGGGAGCCGAAGGCAGCCCCAGCTCCCTCTCCAGCCGCCGGAGCAGGAAACATCCCGGGAGGCACCGGGGGGCCGGGGAGGCGGCGGAGCGCCGCAGCCCCGATGCCACGGGGATGGGCGGGCCACCCAGAGCCCTCTCTCGCCGGCTCCCTAAGTTCACCGTGAGAAGCGCCAGAGCGGAGGGGGTCCCACGGCTGGGTGAGGGTCTCCCCGCGGAGCCGGGGGAGGCGGCGGAGCCGGCACTCACCAGCTGGCGGGCTCGGGCCGGAGCTGCCGGTGCAGCGCCACGGAGAAGCCGAAGAGGCTGCCCTTGTCGCCGTCCTTGAGCAGGGTGTTGGCCACGTCCAGGTTGAAGGCGGCGGCGCCCAGGAGCTGCAGGCAGAGCCAGGGCGCCCAGCGGGGCAGCGGCCCCGCCATGGTCCCCGCGTGCGCCCGGCCCCGCGCGCGGCTCGCCCCGCTCTGGCTCGCGGCGAGGAGGGGAGCGGGCTGTGCGCGAACCCGCCCCCGCGCGCCGCGCCCGCCCTGCCCCGCGCTGCCCCGCGCTGCCCTGCGCGCGGGGCCTGGCACCCCGGGGCACAGCGCGGTGCACCCCACGGCACCCCGTGCTGCAGCACATTGCACCCCACAGCACCCCCTGTCACAGCTCATTGCACCCCACAGCACCCCCTGTCACAGCTCATTGCACCCCACGGCACCCTGTGTCACAGTGCATTGTACCCCACGGCACCCCGTGCTGCAGCACATTGCACCCCACAGCACCCCCTGTCACAGCTCATTGCACCCCACAGCACCCCCTGTCACAGCTCATTGCACCCCACGGCACCCCGTGCTGCAGCACATTGCACCCCATGGCACCCGTCACAGCTCATTGCACCCCACGGCACCCTGTGTCAGAGTACATCAAATCCCACAGCACCCCGTGTCATGCCCTATCAAGTGTATTGCACCCCATTGCACCCCATGTCACAGCCTAGCGCAGCGTTTTGCAGAGCTGCACAGCATTCCTCACACCCCATATTGCAGTGTATCGCCCCCATATCGCAGTGTATTGCCCCCATACTGCAGTGCTTGCCCCAAATATCACAGTGATCGCACCCCAAATCGCAGGGCGCTGCCCTGTGCACCCCGTGGGACACACAACCCGGGGGCTGTGACATTTTCCAGCCTGCCAGCTATTTTTAACCGCTCTCCCAAGGCCCACGAGCAGATTTGGGAGCTGGTGGGGCCGCTCCGGCCGTGTGAATGATCCGCACCGTGGCCCGGGCCCTGGAGCCCATCCAGCCCCGCCGCCCTTTCCCCTCCCGTGATCCCGGAGCCACTTGAATCCCTTCCCTGACGTGGGAAACAAGGCAGCATATCCCGATGGGAGGGGAATGGGGTCCGCAAATCCAGGCTGGTGCGGGAATGGGGACGAAGGGAGCCAGGCGCAGTGCAGGGAGCCCCTGTTCCCTCCTGTTCCCCCTGTCCTCTCCTTTTCCAGCGGGATTTGCTGCACGTCTGCATGGCGGGAGGGGACGGCGTCACCGGAGCATCAGGCTGGTATAAATAGAAAAGCAGGCGGCTGCGGCCGGGAAACAGGATGAGCCCATGGGCTAAATTAAAACACGCCCTGGGCTGGCGCCGAAGGGACCCTCGGCAACCGGCACCTCTCTGATGGGGAGAAAACCGGGATCCTCCCCGGCACCAGGAGCAGAGGATTCCAGCAAACACATCCATTGGTCCCCGCTGCCGCCTGGATCCTGGGAACGAGCATCCTATTCCTAAGGAAGCTGATAAATCCACACGTTTTTCCCCAAATTCCCTGTGCAGGGCACGGGCAGCCCAGCCCAGGCTCCTCTTTCCGCACGTTAGGCCAGGCTGGACTATTAGGAGCAGCCTCTACAGCTCCCGCTGGGAATTCATCCAGCTTCCCCACACCGAGCTCGGCCGCTTGTTGGCTAACAGGCCTGGGAATAGCAGCTGCTCCAGATTAGGAATCGCCCAGGGATGGCGAATCCCCTGCTCCCTTGGAGGCTGGGCCCCCCAGCAGCAATTTGTCCCAGGAAGGCAGAATTCCAGCCCCCAGCAAGTGTTTTTTTGTCAACAGACATGCTGGGAACGGCCACATTCCCAGTATTCTCACATTCCCTCAGTACTGGCTGCCAGCACCTGGATCCCATGGATCCCACCTGGATCCCAACGGCAGCACATGCAGGACGCGCTCCCGCATGCTCCTTGGAATCGCTACAGACCTCGTTACACCCTCAGCGCTGTCTCATGGGGATTTTATTTTCAAGGCAAGGGCCAACTTCCAAATGAGGCTAGGATTCCGGAGGGGAACGTTCTCCCCAGGCCTGACTCCCATCAGGACATTGTTCCTGCAGGCTCCGGCATGGAACACGAGGGAATTTCTTTTTGGTTGGGGTGACAATGAGCAGGGAGGGGGGGTGATGAAAAGCGACTCACGCGTCGTGAGAAAAAGACTTCCTTGTTTAGAGGAGCCGCTTCGCTCCAAGGCCTTTCTTGGATTTGAAGCCTCCTGGAAGCCACTGCCTCATCCTGCAGCTTCCGAACGGCTGAGGACAGGGAGCAGCCAAGGGATGGAAAGGGAGCTGAGGATACGGAGAGGGAAAGGAGCGGAGCGGGGACACGGGAACAAGGAAGGCAGTGGAGCTGGGACACGGGGAACAGGGAAAGGAGCCGAGCTGGGACACAGGGAAGATGGAAAGGAGCAGCGCTGGCTCCCAAACGGAGGGCGGGAGGGAAGCGCTGCCGAGCGCTCCGGGCACCGTCAGTGCATTTGGGGCCGGCTCCATCCCGGGCTCCGGCAGCGCCAGCCGCCCCGCTCCGTCCCCGCGGCCCCGGAGCGCTGCTCGGCTCCCATTGTCGGGCACGGGGCAGCCGGGAGCGCTGCGCGGAGCGGGATGAGGCGCCCCCGAGGAGCTGCTCCGCGGGCCTCTGCGTTCCCAGCTTCATTCCTGGGAAAGGAAGGGCCGGAGTCAAGGGCGCCGCGATTAACCCTGCGAACAACAGGGCTCCCAAAAGACTCCCTGAGCTCCCGCTAAGCCAATCCCTAGGGATGAGGCTGGTCACGGAGCGCCCTGCGCTCCCTCCAGCTGCTGCCGCAGGGGGGACCTGGCAGTGTAACCGGAGCAGGGAGACCCCGGGGATATCCAGAGGGAAGAGGGGGTTATTTTTAACCCATTTCCTGGTTTATCCTGGGCCACGTTACACGTAGGAGCCCCTGCAAGGGCAGCTGCAGCAGCTCCAGGCCAGACGGCAACGGGATAGCAGGAAAACAGGGAACTGAATCCGTGGGGAGAGTCCCGCTGGGAGGCGAGGCCCCACGGCTGCTCAGAGAGGCTTTTCCAGCTCGCGCCTGGCGGGATCACATCCTTCCTGCACCGCTGTAAAGCATCTGCTCCAGGGACATCCCAGGGCTCCGGAAAGGGCTATGTTTCGGGAATCGCGGCCGTGCCGAGAGCTCGCGGAAGAGCCAATGCGGAGCCGCCTGGCGCTGCCCTCGCCCCCGATCCCTCTCCCGTCTCCCGGCCCTGCTCCAGGCTCCATCCTGGCCGCGGAGCTGGTGGCACCGGCCACGGCGCCGCGTTCCCGCTGTGTCATTCCGCAGCGCCCCGCGCTCCAATTTAATTCCCTGAGTGCCCTTGGCTCTCGTTGCTCGTGTCCCCAGCGCCTGGCGGCCGCTTCCGTCACGTCATCCCTGCCGCTGCCGAGGGCCATTCCCAAGGTCCTGCTGCCGGGAAGCGGGCGGACAGCCCGTGATTCCCGTTCTCCTGCCCAGCAGCTGCTCCGCAGGCCGGGGATGGAGAGCAGGATTTAGGAGACGTCGCTGCGGGAATCGCCCGGCCGCTCCCTCTCGTGGCCCTATATAGCCCACGTGGGCTCCTATAGGGGCCCACAGGCCCTCATGTGCTCAACAAGGCCCTATAGCACCCATCAGCCCAGCCAGCCCCCATGGCACCTACTGACCCCCAACGGGCTCCATCCCACCACCTGAGCCCCTATAGCACTGATGGGGCCCCACAGGGCCAGCTGGGTCCCTATAGCACCCATAGCTTCCCAGCCCCCCTGTATGGGGACCTATAGACTCTATAGGTCCCCCTACAGAGCGGGCCAATTGCTTGCAGTGCCCCCAGACCCCACAGCCCCCAGGTCCTATAGCCCCCTCACACCAAGGTCCCAGCTAGCTCCTATAGCCCCCATGGACCAACACTCACCCCCCTACAGTGCTCCCCTCCACACACACACACGCACACGCACACAGACACACACACGCACACACACGCACACACACACACGCACGCGCGCACACACACACACACACACACACACACACACACACACACACACACA